TGTATATATATATATAGCATAATAAATAAAAACAAAAAAACACGAAGAAAATTAAGAAAAACAATAACTAAAAAAAATTCCTTTGTTAATTTATATAATTTTTCCACGTGCAAATCCATTTCGGGCTAATCCGTGGCTAAAATTATCTACTAAAAAATTTTTTCTCTGTTAATTTATATAATTTTTCCATGTGCAAATCCATTTCGGGCAAATCCGTGGCTAAAATTATTTACTAAAAATATCTTTATTGATTTATACAATTTTTCCATGTGCAAATCCATTTCAGTCAAATCCGTGGCAAAAATTATGGGCAAAACAGACAATTCATGTTTCTCTTTTCTATTTTTTTCTTAAATAAATATTTATTTTCTAAAATTATTTATGGTTAACTTCTTTAAATTATCCAGTATAATATTACCTTGCGCACATCCATTTCGGGCCCATCCTTGGTAACTAACAAATCAAAAGCACTTCAGCAATGCAGTAAGAACGGCACTTTAAAACAAAACTCCTCTAGTTACACTCAATTTGCGCTTTTGTTTTCATATTTTGCAATCTGGCTATCTTGTTAAGAAAATATTTTTTAAATCATTCTTGAAAAATTTCCCGTTCATGTAAGTACATTTGAATTCGCTACTCGCTTTATAGATTTTGTTTTATTCTATTTTTCTTTTTCTTTTATTTTCTGTCTTTACGTGATATTTATACTTATTGTGTTCTATTTTATTTGTTGTAGTTTTTGTAAAAATTTTTTGAATACTCCTCACACTATTGTGTTAATACATTTTGCTTTGGCTATAGTGATACAATATCAGAAAACACTCTTTTTTGCAGATATAATCATGTGGGCTGATGAAAAGATTATATCTTTAATTTTCCGGATTTTTTGAAAAACATTTATCCCCCCCCCAGTAGTTTGTTATATTTTTTATTATTATTTCTCCCCCCTTTTTTTCATATGTCTGTAATTTTCCTTTGTTTTATCTTAATTTTGAACTTTTATATATATATATATTACGTTTCTAAACATTTCCATTAAATTATAGACTGATAATTACAAAAATTAAAGAATGCTAATGAGCAGAAAATTATTTTATTAGTGCTAAGATTGAAAAATTTATTTGCATAATTACTAACATCATGTAAATTACATTTTCACAATCAATCACTGCTTTGATTAGATTATAAATTATTTTGTGCATGACAAATAATTTTTTTTTGTTATTAATTCATTTTTAAATTTTTTTTAAATAGCATTTTTATTAAAAGCGTACAATGCTATTACTTCCTCCACTTCTAATTTTTGTCTAATTCTGTCGGAACTATTTAAATAAATATCATATAATATTGGCAAAGTAAATACCTAAAAAGGTAAGAATTGGAAGTGAATGAGTGTTTCATTATTGTTAATAAGAAGTTAACTTAATTCAAATATTTTTTTTTAGTTTTAAAATATATTTGAATGTAATAGAAGAGTATTGTAGGTATTATTGTGACAATCTCAAATTAAATAAATCTTTGCAAAAGCAAAAGGGAGATGGAAGAGACTTAAAGATTTGAGGAAATTGATGGTATGCTTTAAGTCAATTATTAAGTTAATTTACAGTGTGACTCAAAATAATCTTATTTAATTTTGAGGTGCAGTATAAATTATAATGTACAAAATAAATAAGATAGCTAAATGCTTTTATTTCTTTTTTAAGTCTAAGCAACAAATTAATTTCAGCTACCTTATTCATATTAGGTGTTGAAATGTAACTGAGTAACGTATATGATCATAAATTTAATGATTGATGAAAGGTATCAATTATGTTTGCCAACTCAAAATTAAGTTGATGTATATGGCAAAAAAAAAACCATAATCATCACACAAATATAAAGTCTCATAATTAGTTAGCATTTTGGTTTATTTCCTTTTGATAAGAAACAGATTTTACAAAAAAACAAAATACTAATGCAACCTCAACGTATTTCTGAAGGAAAACTAGGATTGGAAGAGTGCACAATGTACTAGTGCATGAGGCATAATGGCCATTCGTGGTTGAAGTTTGTACATTATGTTAAGAATTTTTAGAACGTTATTCTGTGAGAGCTACCAGAAAATTTTTATGCAGTCAGAATCAATTAATAACAATGTAAGTAGAAGTAGGAAAACAAAAAACAATAGGATAACACAAATTACCTCTCTTTCTTTTTCTGAAAGTTTCTCATAGCCAGGCATGCTTATGATGTTTAAAGGAGGAGCTTGTCTTCCTCCTAAAAAAAAAAAAATATACAACTGATAATTAGATATTTAAAATTTTGAGCTTCAATTTTCTTTTTTAAATTTTTAGTAAAATAATTTAAAAATATAAATAAATAAGCTTATGTAGAAAATGATGTAGATTTAGTAAAATAATTATGTAGATTTTTTTTTATATTTAATAAAAATGTAAATTAAAATTATAAATAAAAATTGCAACTCTGATTAGAAATAATAAATTGGCAGAATTATAAACATGATTAAAAGGGAAAATAAGACTAAAAGAATTTACTCAGCAATATACTTTAAAATATATATATATAAAATCCAATATATTACATTAGCATCGATTAAAAATTAATTTTGGAAAAGAGAAACACCATTAAGATGTCCAAACTTAATTGAGCGATACTAATTTAAAAAGATAATAAATGAAAAAAAACAAACAAACATATTTTAACACCAATTATCAAACCATCATAAAAAGAAACTAACAAATATATAAACAATCCATGTTTAATTAAAATGAACTCATATTTATTAAATTAAGCCAAATAATCAATTACTAAAAATAATGCTTTTTATGAATGGAAAAAAATTAATACGTAAAAATAAATGAAATACCCTGAAATGCAAAACAAAGCTGCAAGAAAACAAAATATAAAAGTAGAACGTATTAATCAAAAAAATAAATGAACTACTTTTTAACAACTAAATAATACTAAAAAATATAAATTAATAAAAATGATAAGTTAATAAAAGTACTATACACATATCCTGTATTTATTTGAAATTTAATCAACTGATGAGCAATTTTTAGAACCGAAGAGAGAGAGAGAGAGAGATAGAGAAAGAAAGAAAAGTAAAACAATGCAACATGTTAAGATTTTCTATTTAAAAAAAAGAATCATAAATAAGATGGATAAATAGACAAGAAAATACAAATTGCCGCAGTAAAAAGCACAAAATTAACAAAGCGAATTATTTAAAAAAAAAACTTATTTTAATGATAAATACTAAACCTACATAAAAAGAAACTAGCAAATATATAAGTTAATTGATGTTATTCATTTAAATGAAGTTAAGCCAAATTATAGTGAACTAAATATTTATTGTTGTTGTTGTAGGTCATTAAAGCAATTTGGTGTGATAGTTCTTGTTTTTCAGTGGCGCCATTTCTGGCCAAGAATTCGACTTCCACCACACTCATACGCCACACCCGTTAATAGGGCGGACTCAATCATTCATCCACAGGCCGTAATTCTGATCTGAACCAGCGAACAATCAATCTCCAATTCAGTACCCCCAGAGGTATTGTTTTGGTACGGGAACATGAGAGGACTTTGTGACCCAACAGACTTAGAGTGCACCAGTCACCATTTACTGCACGGGGAGTCTTCGAATAGCTGGATTTGAACTCCCGTCCTCACAATCGCGAGTCAAGTGCTCCGCCAACCATGCTATTCCGGCCCAAACATTTATTAAAATCTTCAAATTAATTAAAATAAAACAAAATGAAAGGAAAACTTATTCATCAAATAAAACAAAAACAACACTTAAAAACTACCAAATGAAAATTATAATTAAAGGAAATGTTAACATAAATATTACACCACTTTGACAAGTCAGGGTATAATGCGATAAATTGAATTTAAAAAAAAATCTTTATCTTCAAATTCATGACTAATATAATGAGTACAAAATTTATTGCGAATGTGGAAAAAAAAACTTAGTAGAAGTAGAATTAGATATGTATTGCTCATAAAAAGAGAAAGCTGCAATCTGCCTTCCTAAAACAATAGTCTACTTTTATTTATAAAAGCTGATGATTTTTAACAAAACCAGATGTGACTCCACATCAGGCAAAATTTACAAATGCTATATTTCTGGGGATCAGAATTCATTCATTTAAAAAATATTGTCTCTCTCTCTTTAACAGATATCAAAATATATAAACATCGCGGAAGATAAAAAAAACGTTTTGTTTTTAACAATTAATGCACAATCTGTAATTATAAACAATTCGTTATAATAAATCAGAGACAAAGAAAGTTGAAAAACAAAAAACTAACATGTGAATACTCTGACGGCAAAGGTTTCAAGCTCCTAACTTGGACATCCAATTGACAAAACTCTAAAAACGCTTTAAAAAAAATCATCTTGAGGACACACTTAATGATGGAAAGAGAGGAAAAAAAAACTGAATTTTTTAAATTCTCTATTGCGCAAGTGCAAATTACAGTTATTGGAAGACTGGAATCCAGCAATTTGATAGGGTGTCTGACGTTCCCGGTTTTGGGGTAAAAGTGTGTTTTATCCCGACAATTCTCTGACTTTTTGTTAATTCTCATTTTTCCTGCCTATTCCCCGTACATATGAACCCTGATTGAATTTATACCTTAACAACTATATATATAAAGAAATTTTAAGGCTTCTTAAATAACTCACCAATAAATTAAAGTAGAATAAAAAAAAATTGAAGTGCAGCTGACATTTTAAATTTAGTTTCAAATCATTTAATTTCTAAAATTAAAATGAAATACACTATAAGCATAAACAGAAATAAAAAAATAAAGAAAAGAAGAAAAATAATTTAATTATACCAGGTGATGGATTGATTTCAAATCCCTGACTTTCTCTTAAAGCTTGCCTTCTTATGTATTGTTGACAAGATGCTTCATCCTAAGAAAATAAAAAATTAAAATCTTAAATAATTGATCTGGCAACACAGATGATGATAATAATATAGGATATAAAATGTTAGAAAACAAAAATTTTCTAACTAATTCTCATTATTTCCCCCTGTTTCCCACAAATACTCATTAACATTAATGCAATTTAAAATTAACTTAAATCAACACTTTTCCATTAGAAAAGTACACAAAATCATAACAGTCAACTTATACAAGAATGTTTTCTCAGTGTTAGTAAAATTACAACTACAAATATTTACCTTTAATATATCTGTTTCAATTACTTATATGCATTAAATAAATAATTAAAATATGGTTCTGAAATATTGTAGCATAAATTTTGTAACTGTCCAAAATTGCCAACTTTATATATAAAAGTAAAATCTTTCGAGAAAAACCAAAAGAAATGGTATCTTTCTTAAAGAGCAAGTCATAAATGTCAATTCCATATGTGTAATGCTTTCAGACTATTGAGCTTAAATGAATTCGCATATAGAAGTGTTTTGAAATCAAGATGCAGCATTTTATTCTATTTAGAACAAAAAATGATAAGTCACCCACCTTTCACCAACAAAACCATTGCTTCTGGCTAATTTTATTTCGATTAAATATTATCATTATTGCAATAAATATGCTTCAACTTTTAAATTTTTACTTTCTTTTATGGTTTTAATAGNGCTTGGTTTACAGGGTAAACATCTTTCAAAAAAGAAAGAAAAATCCTAAAATCTTATGAGGAAAAAAACTTTTTTTTTTAAAAAATAGCGGGAAAATTTATCGAATTTCGTTCCGGTTTTTTGGTTTTCCAGTTTTCTGATTTCCGGATAACGGGTTCTGTACTGTAGAAGTGTTTTGAAATCAAGATGCAGCATTTTATTTTATTTAGAACAAAAAATGCTAAGTCACCCACCTTTCACCAACAAAACCATTGCTTCTGGCTAATTTTATTTCGATTAAATATTATCATTATTGCAATAAATATGCTTCAATTTTTAAATTTTTACTTTCTTTTATGGTTTTAATAGTTAAAACAAAACATAGTTAAACAAATACAACATGTTTTACCAGGGCGCATAGTCAAATTATTCAACAAAAAATAAGCATCTTTTAAGCACTCAAATAATATTTTTAAGTACTTTAAAAAATATCATAATTAGGCAGGGTTGGAAAGTTTTTGACAATTGACGGTTTTATCTGGTTTTAATCGTCATGTCAACAAAAAAAAATCTTTTGGCATTGTTTTTGACAATTGTCAGAATTTTTGAATCATNATTATTCAACAAAAAATAAGCATCTTTTAAGCACTCAAATAATATTTTTAAGTACTTTAAAAAATATCATAATTAGGCAGGGTTGGAAAGTTTTTGACAATTGACGGTTGTATCTGGTTTTAATCGTCATGTCAACAAAAAAAATCTTTTGGCATTGTTTTTGACAATTGTCAAAATTTTTGAATCATATAAATTGAATGGTGTTTTCATACGCTGCGGATTGATGATGCACCGAAATAGATTAGGGTTGAATTAATTGTGAAAACGTTGAATGGAACAATGTGAATAGTGTCTTTTTGCATAATTCATAGCGAAAATCAGCATGGTAAAGGAAAAATCTCAATTTGGAAAAGGGAAAATGAAGCACCTTTTAAAAACTCCCAATGAAAAAAGCACCTTTAAGGGCTTTTAAAAAATGAAAATCGAAAATAAGCACTTTTTAAAAATGCTATGCAGCCTCTTTACGCATACAGAATAGTTGCAAACATATATTTTAAGTATATAAAATAGAGAAAAGCAAGAATTTTTGTCCAGTATCCTTAGAATTGAAATTTTATGCCCTTCTATTTACCCACAATTTAGGAGTGTATTGTAGTCAGAATAATAAATAAGTTATGTTTACCAAATAGAGATAAGCTTAAAACAATCACAGTATTACATTGAAATGTAGATCAAGATAATAAGTGTGTTTTTACCTTTATTTGACTTAAAACTTCATCCAATATACTTTTGCTCTTTTTCTTCCCATCACGCCTCCTTTTCAATCGCATATAGGTATGTATACTATAGAGATGAGTTAAGCCAGCAGTTCTGCACTCTTGTAATAGTTTTATTCGTTGCTTAGTTTTTTGTTCCCCTACACAAAGATACAATGAATAGTAAAACAGAAATAAAAAAACTAGTAAAAAAAACAAAAAAAACCCGGTTAAATCAAGAAGGAGCTTGTGAGACAGATAAATACTATATTAATTTACTATTGTGTCAGAATCAGAATATTAATTGTTTCAGAGTTAGAAAAATATCAGAAATTTTAGCTACCAAAAGTCTATGTTTAGAACATATATGCTCTTTGATTGCAATATGTTTAATTCTTGTGTATTAATTATAATGTAATTGTGTATTAATTATAATGTAATGTATTAATTATAATGTTTATACATTATAAAAAAATCTTTTTTTGGAAAAATTGTGCAAATGATAAATTAAAAAAGAAAAAAAAAATGCATATATATTCGTAACTATAGAATGTGTTACAATTTTATATATGATTATTTAAGTTTTACACAGAAATATCAGGATTAAAAAGAAAAAATATACTGGAAATCAATCACTCTTGATTTAGAAAACGATAAAAAGGCCCTTAATATAATGTACATTTAGCACAATTCATGAGTATTTAATATAATAAAGTTATTCACATTTTTATGTTATTTAAATTTAATTTGAATTTTATGCAATCATACTTTAGCTTTGTCCAAAAAAGATGTTTATACTAAGCCCAAAAAAGAAATCAGTAAGAAAAGTTTAACTTTTAGATGATAATATTGAGATAAAATCTTCTCATTTTAAACGAAGAAAATAACAGAATTAGAATGGTGTTCTGATTTGCGCATATTACAAGTTTCGTCAAATGAAATTTATTAACATAGCACCATAGATAGTTTGCAGATAAATAAAATATCATTTTTTTCTTTTAAAATGAATTTTTACTTGTTCTTGGTTTTTTCTGCTAGTAATTTTTTTCTCCATTACACAAAAAAAAAAAAAAAAAATANAAAAAAAAAAAAAAAAAAAAAAAAAAAATATATATAGATGTGGAAAATAATTTGTAGATGCTGTGATTATCTGCAGTGCATGCTGAAGGGTTTCTGTTTCCAGAATCATGTATAATTTAGATGAACTAATTAATAATAGCAGAAGATATTCTCTTTATTTCAGTTTCATATATTTATGCTATTTTATCAAATTATAATTATATACTAAGTACTTTTATATTTCTTTGAAGGTGGAATATAGTTACTTTGGTTATTATAGAAATTTGTCGCCATCCTTGAAGATTTCACTGTCAATTTGGTGCATTGAAAATGTGCAACTTGTCTAATACAGAACTCTTGTAAAATATTTTTAAAACAATTAAGGAATGTTTATTAAAAGCAATTTAGTGACTCTAGCCTTATTTTCGTATGTGTTTTCCTTGAACACTCCATTGCCGCAGTTGGGTAAGGATGTGCTCATATTGCTGGTTAGAGATCTTTCCTGCAATTCTTAAAATCAGATAACCTCAAAAAAATCATAGATGAGCAGACTGGAATCATAGATGAGCAGATTGGAGATTGTGACACATCTTCCAATTTTGCCATATTTTTGAAACATGGGTATAGTGTGTGAATGTTGCATGTGCTAATATCCATCATGCATTTTTTGCCAGATAAAATCAAATAATACTGGAGAATAATTTTTTCCTTGTTTTCTGTTGCATGAGATTTTTTAATAGATCTTAGATACTTTTATATCACTAATTTCAAATTTGCAAATGGTTTTACTCTTAGCTAAAGTTCTTTTTAAAAATTAATTTTAATCTATTTTTTATCAAAAGGTACAAATTTAAAAACATTATATAAAAAAGGGGTTCCATAAATGTTGCAACAAACTTCTTCGAAAAGAGTTAGGGCACATTATCAGGATCAAAACTGCATAGGAACCCATGTCCGGAAATGTCGACGTTTGCATAAATGCAACGTAATGCGTTAGGGGCGCTACTCTATAATGATTTGCTTCTTTGTGTAATTCTGATTAAGTCCTAATAGAATATCTTTGTACGAGGAGAGAACACCACCCTATTATGGCCTATTCAGAAGCACACAAAGAAATAGTTCATAAAAGGGAAGTACTCCAAGTACTGTACAACAATATTCTGAAATTAGGTTCCTATGCCATTATAGTCCTGATGATGTGCCCAATTCCCTTAGAAGTTTACTGCAACATTTAAGCGGCTTCCTGTTATATATAGTGTTTTTAAACTTGTACATTTTGACAAAAATTGTCCTACATAGAAAAATCTGTAGCATTAGGAGCAAAACTCATTTCATATTAGAAATCCCCTCATCCAAATTAGACAAGATAAATTATTTGCATAAATGTAACAAAAAATTAGCTCCCCAGTATAATCATTCATTACTTTAATAATGACAGCTTTGTTTATATTTTGTCCATCATTGCCTCACATTGGAAGATTAGTTTGAGATTATTAATTATAATCTAATGCTTCATCAATTTTTTTAAATGTATTGATCGAAATTCAAGTCTAGGGAAAAGCGGGTGGAATAAACTGTATATTTCATAGTAGTTTCTAAAGGAATAGGTAGTTTTTAATATAGTACAGTTCAATAGCTTTTCAGAAAGGCGAAACTTGTTAACAGTTCTAGAAAACAGTGTTTGCAAATGATTGGCAGGAAAAACTATCGCAGTTTGAAAAAATTTAGGTTTGCAATACTGCTGATAAATGTCTTACAAGGCACATATTTTTGTTTCCTTCTATGACAAAAGAATGAAAGATGGAAATTATGTATAAATATATATAAAAAGAAATATTCAGCAGAAAAAAAAGACTTTGTTGACTAAAATTAATTAATCTGGAAAATATTTACTTTCATTGATAATTTTTTATCTTGCCATATTTATTTTAACAATGGAGGAAATAAAAAGCAAAACAGGCAATTTATTATTCATAGTATAAATATTCAATTCATTTGATTTTTAATTTCAAGAGAGTAATTATGCTGTACAAGGAACAATGTACAACCACTATTTAATAAAAAATTATTATTATTGTTTTTATAAATAATTCAGTTTCTTCACTTAATTAAGATATTATTAGAATCGAGATCTATATGAAGCTAGTTATGTAAACTTCCAGAAGCGAATTAGTGTTTAGTCACTTCTATGTATTTTAAAGTCAGTAATTCACTTTTGGGAAAAGAATACTTTAAATATGCAGTTCATTTAAATATTGAGTAACAAGATGACATTTAATGATTTTAACATATTATAACAGGAGAGTCAAAAATATAAACTTACATAAAATTCCTTCCATGAACTTATAAAAGTCATCAGGATAAAATAGACGCATCATTGTCTTCATAGTATCTAACCATTTGTTGCCAAGATTTGTATACCGTTTCCAATCATCCAGATTCCTTTTCATACTGATTAAACCATATGTTTTAATAATCCACTTGCGACGTGCTCGCTCTTTCAGTCGAGAATTATAGATGTTAAGGATATTTAATTGTAATTCTAAATGTAATAAAATAATGATCAGTGTATAAAATTTAAGATGTTCCATATTAACTGTATTTAACATATATTAATAGAATTCTTATAAAATTAAGTTAAAAAAATGCCCATTAGGGTCACAAAGCACATTTTTATTATGTAAGGAGAAACTTAAAATGTAAGTAAGAAGATTTACAAAGTTTTTCCATTTTCAACTCACTAGTTAATGACTATAGGCACCCTATTTAAGAATTCATAATAAGGATTTTTAATAAAAACACTTTACAAAAAGCAAATAGCCTTTATAAAATAAATAATAATAATGTTTCATGGTCTCTCCTTTCTTGTAGAACAATAAAAACATTCTATAGGGTATCAGAGCATTCTGTTTGGGAATTACTGTAATAGAGAGATTCAGAATAAAAAATCAATTAGATTGCCAGAAGACATTGAAAAGAGATTATTAAAAAAGCCTTATTATTTTCTTCATCAGAACCTTAAATTAACCCTCAAACCCATTCTTCTTCTTCTGATATTAATTAAGTTTATATAATTTGTGACCTCTTATTTGAATACTTTCTACTAAAAACATACAGTAAAGACTGTTACTACAGAACACCCTTTACAAAAAGATAAAGTTTTTCATTATTAATTACAGAAATTACAGTAAATTAAATTACCGAAAATATTATTACGAATTACAGAAAATTTTATTTACGAGTTATTTATTTAGAATATTATGTATGAAGCACATAAATATTTTTGAATTGTATACAAATTGAATTGTATACTCCAATTAGTTCAATTGAATTGAATCCAACTGAATACAATTGAATTGTATACAAATATTTTTGAACTGAACCAGTTGTAAAAAGATGGTAAAAAACAAAAAAAGTGAAAAGAATAAAACAGGACACAGACAATTCTTTTGTCTATCATCTGCCCTAAGTATGTAACAATTTAAGCTGAGTGTTTTAAACCAATAAGATTTTAAACTAAATTACTACCCTTAATTTCTTATTGACATTAGTTCAATAATTAAGAGGATTTTTTCGTTCCATCTCAACTTTTAAAAAATTTGATGCTTAATTTCCACCAATAAACATAAATTTATTACAATAATTTAGCCCAATAAAAATAAAACAAATTCATTTCGATAATTTCGACAGTGACTACAATTAAAAACTTATGAGATCATCAATTTGTATATTAAAATTTATACAATAAAAATTTTCAACATATCCAATTCTAATATCAAATTTTTGTTTTGCTTAAGAGAAACATGATACATACTCAATAAGTCCCCAGCCTGACCACATAAATTGCACCACTGTTAACAGAACCATGCATGATTTCTGGATAGTAGCAGCTTTCAAACAATATTTGTCAAAATTTCATGACCTTCTGATTATAAGTTTAGAGCTTACATGCGGTTTTAGTGATTCTAGTTTCGTTATTTTTAAAACATTGAATAAAAAAGAATTTTGTTTATTGTTTAAGCATTGTTTTTTGATGGAAAAATGGTCATGAAGACATTGACCTCATAATCTCATCTGTTTTTAGACTTTCTGGACATTTTTGGACTTATGGATTAGGTCTAATTGGGATGGACCTCTTGGGGATTAGAGACAACAATAGACATTGATGATGCTAAATGCAATGGTCATCCAAAAGCAGCAGTTTTTCAAGAAAACATCAAAAATGTTCATACAAAAGTTTCGAAAGACAATTAAGTGAAGTTCCGTGAGAAAGCTGACACCTTAACGATATCAGAAGGTAGTGTTAAGGTATAATTTTATTTGAGCATGCACAAGTTGCTTTCAGAGTGGGTGCCTCATTTACTAAATTGAACTAATTAGAGTACATAAATATCGTTATGGCAATCAACAGAGAACCTATTACAAATACAAACATTTTATACTATTTTGCTATACAACAATTTATAAAAACAATAACAGATGAATAGAAAATGGAAATAAAGAGTAATTATTTGCAGACCTACTGAAAATAACTAAATCAGTTACCATTCCATAGAGGATCCCCATCATTTTCAATCTTCAAATCTTTGATATCTAATTCTGCATAATCATCATATTCATAAGCAAAATCTCCTCTGGCAGGCATATAACCTGCCATTTCTTGATAGAGAACAGATGCTACTATTGGACGTGGTGGATCTTGAGAAAATGCTTTGGAAAAATTATTTATTATGATTAAATGTATAAATTAATGTAAATTGATTCCTGAAATTTATAACCAGCAAGCAAATAATATATATATGTATAAATATATTGCAAAGTAATATAAAATTTACTTAGTTTAATTACTAGTTATTAGGTTTCAGTAAATTAATTAGTTATCTAGTAAATCATTGAAAACACACATAATCCTCTAACACCAAAGATCTTAAAACTTGCTGCCACGGGTTTTAAAATTGAGCGAGTTAATCCTCTTTCTCATAGTAATTTAAGACATGAAAAAGTCCAAAAATCAGATAAATTGCTTATATTTTTTTTTACATAAAACAAATTCTTTTAGAAAAAATAAATAAAATAAAAAACTAGCATATAATTCTCTAGTTCATAGAATCAAAATAAATAAATAAAAAATTCCTTTTTAGTATTATAATCAAAATTACAAGACCTAAAATCTAAATTAGAATATCTAAATTAACTAATAAATCACGGAACATAAAAAAAAGTGTATCTTAATTAAATCAATAAGATTAACTGTAAAATGAATGCTTTTAATTGAAATTTATTTTTGAAAACAATAAACATACATTTAATATTTGCAATATATTTTTATTTAAAAATATATTTATTATATAATATATTAAATATAGTAATATATTAAAAGTAAAGTTTTATAACAAAATTTTGTTTGAATACATATCTATATATAAGTTGACAAATGATGAACTAACAGAAAAGTATTTCTATAAATAAAAATACATGTCATACATGCCACCAATAACAATGGTCAATGTAATTGGTGGTCAAATAAAAGAACATACATCATATAATAGTTCAAAATGTAGATATGCAAATATATTTTAATTCATATATGCACATATTGGATTTACTTTAAAATATTTGTTTTAATAAAAAAATATGGTTTTTACATTGTTTTGTATAAATGCTACAGTACCCTGTTAAGTAATAAAACCAATTTTAACCAAGTACTCAGAAGCGGCTGGATGAAAGATTCAATTTTCATTGGGTATCTCTACCCTGCAAAATTTTAAAATTCAGTAAATCTAATTTTTGATTTAAGATATTACATATAAAATCTTTGCGTATCTCAGCATAAAATTATAAAATTTTGTCTGATAATATGTCTGATTTAATTAATAAGCCTAATTAGTTAGTTTTTTCTTTTGTTTGATTTAGTTATAGAAATAGGCAACAGCTAATAGAAACAAACTTTTATGAATACAATTAGAAAGGCACAAGTTTTTAAAATTTTTGGTAGATTTTCATGCTAAAATAAATTAATAATAAATAAACACATGTGTTGAAAAGTTTAAAAATTATTCTGTACTTACTTGTGCAAGAAATGGGAGCAGGAAAGTGATCTGTCACAGTTTCAGGAGTTGGAATTTCTAAAATAATTGATATTTATATGTATACATATATATCCACACACAAATATAGTACATAATCTTTATAATGCAAACCTGTGGCTTTGTGTTTTATGGATCATTTCACTTATTTTAAAAGTCACCTTCTAAATGTGGCAATATTAGTCTGGAGCAGATCAATCATCAAATGTTTTAAAATAATTTTCAGATACAAATACTTTAAAACAGAAGATATGCACTTAAGTGTTATTTACGGAAAAAAATAGAGTAACTGCATTAGAACTAGTAACAAACAAAAATTTAATCCATTTTGGTTTGCTTGGTTTTTAAAATTTAGCAAATAATGCAATAAATAATGTAAAAGGTTAAAAGTTCCTGCTTAGTTATAAAATTTCATTGTTTACACCCACAAAGCTAACAAGTGGTTAATGGAGAATTGCAGTTACACAGTTCTGTATATTTATAGCAACACAAGCGTCAATAAAAATAGAAAATGATAATCAACTGGAAGGTATTATTTGAGTTTGTATGGAAAATTTATAATATTGTGCATAAATTTTTTTTATAGCATTTAGCAAAAGAACTTTAATTACCCAGATTAATTAGGAATAGATTTGATCCAAATAATCAAATATTGAGATAATTGATGAAATGGGATTTATCATAGGTCAATTCAAATAGTAATAAAAAGAAAAAATTAAAATAAAACTTAGACTTACTTTTAGAATTCGGTCAAAAGACAATTTTTTTTAACTAAAATTTTTTTTTTTTTTTTTTGCATGTGTCTTAAAATTATTTTTTCTTATTTCTTACAATATACTGTAAGTAAAGTATTTTAATAGAAGTTCATAATTAATTTTTAACTAATAAATCTTATGTTATTTTTATTTAAAAATTTAAACAAAACTTACTTTTAGAATTCAGTCTTAAGTCAATGTAATTTTTATTTAAATTAAAAAAAAAAAAGTAGTGTTATTGATGTTCTAAAAATATATTTTTATAAGTACTATTTTCTATTGTTAAAGATTTATTTCTTATTTCAAAGTGAGTTAGGTTTCCAAATTTTATATTCAAAAGGAACAATATTCGAACAGATGATATATTTTGATACATTTTTTTATCGCAATGTCTACTAATAGATGATATATTACAATATCGAATGTCTTACATTTCCCAGTCCTAGTAATTACAGATAAAAGTAATATAAAAATGAAAACAGACGTACTTGGTAGTGGAGAAATGGGATTGTAGACATAATATCTTAAATAGTGTTCTTCACATTCTTGTTTAGTTTTAGTCCCTACATCCTTAGCAATTTCAGACCTGAAAAAATAAATTCTTATTTATTTTTCTTGTAAGTACAAACTATACAACAAGTAGAGTAATAACTTTTATTGATAAAAACAAACCAATTTCCAAATCCTCGATCTGAGATAGCATTCAGCAATTTTACTTCTTCACTTGCCATCCAATCAGAATCAAACAAAGTAAAGTTATTTCTCTACAACAGAAATAGAATGCTTACAAACTTCAACACTTAAGAAAAGCTTAATAAAATGTCAATAATTCATATATATACTTACAATAATAATATAAGGGTGGTTATTTTTATGATTCTCATATTCCCGTCCTTTGGCAAAACACTGGAGACAAAGACATCTAGTAGGATTGGCACATTGAGCACACTGAATATAAGGCTCAGTTAAAAATATTCCACAGGATGGACAAGTGGGAGATTCATCCATTATTTTCTTCAAAATAATAAAAATAGCTATAATAGATATTAGAAAAAAAATCTCAAAACTGCGAAAAATAGTATAATTAAAGTAACTTTTAAGCTAAATGGGCAAATTTATGAGAAAAAGTGACTTTGGGTGTTAAACTAATAAAGATATTTGCCTCACTTTAATTTTTAAGGAAGTTTTTTTTATTTTAATTTTTAACAGCAGCACTCGACACATATATCAATTGCTAGAACGTGCAAACACTCCCCGCAAACATACTAGGGGAAAAAACATTGAACATAAATTAACAACTAATTAAAAAGATATCATTAAAAGATTATACACATTTCCAGTATTAGAACATTAAAATCATTGAAAACATTAGAACATAGAAAAAGTATAAAAAATATCAAAGACATAAACAAAAAGTTAATAGAAATTTATTCAGTTTACAGGGCTGGTAATAACTCATGAGCCCTCAAGTGCCTGCCATAGATGATTTCTACCACTGCTCGGCAAACCCCCAGGTGCAGCATTTAATTTTTAAGGAAGTAATTTCAATGAAAAAAAAAAACATGATTCACTGAGTAGAGTTCTATTTCTTTTAATGATAATAACTGATTTCTTCCTACTTAAAAGGCATTAAATTTGATAATTTGAAACTTTAGACATAGCTTTAATGAAAAGAAAAAAAAACCTCTCCTAATGTCAAAAATCAGTAAAAATTTGTTTTCAAAAAGTAAATTTTACAAGAAACAAACTTCTACTATGTCACATTGAGAGAAAAATCCTGAATGAGAAATATCTCTTCAGATTGAGCAGCTAAAATTTAGGGTAGTAGTTAATAGTTTTAGACTGATTAATAGTTTTATTACAAGTTTTTATTCACATTGGCTACATCTTAGTTATATTTTTGCTATTCCTTCGAGATATAATTCATACAAGTTATTANTCCTAATGTCAAAAATCAGTAAAAATTTGTTTTCAAAAAGTAAATTTTACAAGAAACAAACTTCTACTATGTCACATTGAGAGAAAAATCCTGAATGAGAAATATCTCTTCAGATTGAGCAGCTAAAATTTAGGGTAGTAGTTAATAGTTTTAGACTGATTAATAGTTTTATTACAAGTTTTTATTCACATTGGCTACATCTTAGTTATATTTTTGCTATACAAGTTATTATAATTTATATTTCTAAATGTGAATTTTTAATGTTTCTTTATATCAAGAGTGTAATTTTTAAAATAACAACATGGAACTTTCTATCAACTTTCAAGACACAGAAATTAATTGCATTAAAAATTTAAACTATTCTCCATTTGTGAGTGTGTTGAGGGCAATCCCTAAGGACTCCTGCGGAAAATGTCAAGAAAAATAAAAAGCAGGGTTGTAATGATTTAAAAATATTTAACTAAAATAAAATCTTTGATTTGAACCACATTTTTTTAATACATATTTTTATACAGTCGACGATTAACTAATATTTTATACTTAAGATTGCGAAAATAAATTATTGATATCAAATCTTTTTGATAATAGATGTTTCATTCATAGAATTAAAAAAATAAGTTAATACATAAAATCTCTCTCTCTCTTTTTTTTTTTAAAGAGCTTATATGTCATTAAAAATGTAAATTTTAAATTATAATTCTTCATTTCATATCACTTCTATATTTTTATGTGCTCATTATAGTATATAAATTAATTTGTCGTTTCATTATCAATAAATATATTTCAATTATACCCATTTAATTTTATACACATAAATTTTAAAATAAGTAATATCAATATAAGTAATTTTAAAACTTATTAAATATCTACTTGTAAGCAAAGAATACACTTGTTAGGCTAAGAATAATTTATTTTTAAAAATGTTTTCATACCTAAATTAATTTACTTTTCATTTGAGAGGTTGGTTCGCTGTCTTTGAAATGTATGTTTTTAGTTTGATAAACAAATAATTAATGATCTTATTTATTCAGTAATTAATTTGAAATAATTAAATAATATTAACTTTTTTATAATTACTGATAATAAGTTAGTTGCAGTATTATTGTAAAATAATATCAAGAATTATTTATAAATTTTGTCACATTGTTAAACACGAAATCAATTAAAAAAAAATCTAACTGGAATAAAAAAAATTTAATGACTAATATTTATTATGTTAAACAAAACAAGATTTTTATTAATTATGATAAAATGCCTTAATGTTTCGCCAAGTGCCACTAAAATCCTAAACACACCCTTGCTTGGGGTAAATCGATGTCAACCAAATTTATATCTACAACCTGTGTACTACAGCCAATATTTTTTTCAGCTTTGTAGTTGATAAAAAAAAAAGAAGAAAAAAAACTTTAAAAAATTGGATAGATATACGCAAAGCTTGAATAGTTTAAACTATTTTCAAATATATTTTTTATAAAGCTTAAAATAAAAGTGAGTCATTAATTGAAAAGTTTAATTAAAAATTATAACAATAGATTCTTTAAATGAAAATTAGATAAGAAAGATAAGATTGATTTGGATGGGAAAAACTTAGCTTTATTATTCGATAATAATCTGAGTCAACTAAAGAGTAAAAGTATTAAAATTAATCATTGTAAATTTTAAGTAGAATTATGTTTTTTCTTCTTCTTTCTGTTAATTGCTGTCGGCTAAGGTATGCTAAAAGAAAACGGGGAAGCCCGAGGAAGAGATGTATAGATGAGATTGAAAGTGACCGCTAAATCTTGAAAATAGGCAGTTTTATTTAAGGCAACAGATCACAATATAAAAATATCCCTCTCTGTAGTTTGATTTGCTAGTTACAAACCTTATAACTTATCAAATTTTTATTCGATTTATTTAAATGATGAACAGGATGTTTGTTATTATTGTAGTTTGCATCGCAGGTAGGTTATTTTAAAACATATTTTTGGAAAATGGGAAATTTATGGAGCTAAAAATTTCTTTAGTATAAAATTTTATGTATTTTTTATTTTTAATAGAATAAACGCTTTTCATTAAATTGAATGGTACGAATTTAATATTTTCAGACGCTATATGACCTTGATTTTTTTTAGAGGATTAAGAAATAAAAGCAAAATATAACTTCAGAGGAAACAAAGTTCTTTGTTTTTGAAAGAGTAAAGAAAGCTTTGTTTAACAATGAAGACTTACTGAGTAAAAATAAATATTCTAAGGATAAACGTTAAGACTTCAGACGAAATAATCAAATTTAAAAAAATAAATTACACAATTTTTCTACTTTGTTTTAATAAATTTAAACCAATATATTCACATGAAAACATAAATATCCATAGCATTATAGCTCAAAAGCATCAAACGACAACAAAAACCAGCTGTCTGCAAATCAGTCACGGATAAAGCGAGAAATACCGGCAATAATTAATTAAACTAAATAGTTGTTTCTGTCAGTTAAAAATTAATTAACGATAAAAGTTAGGTAAAAAAAGTATCGAAGAATAATTTTTTAGATCATAAATTTGTTTGTTTTTTTGGAGGAAACCTAATGAAACGGTTATTGAGAACTGAAGTGAAAATAGCCACGTTTACTCTGCTTTGCTGTTGTTGCTTTCACTTTCCATTTATCCTCTGTTTTCATCATATTACAACCTTATCATCGCTGAATTCTTAAATAAATTTAATCACCCATATTTATAATGGAATCTGCTAAAGGATGTAAGTTGAAGTGTTAAAATTGTTGTCTCAATTATTTTATTACTTATATTATGTGTGATTTAATATGATTTAATGGTTGAGTAAACAACCAGCTCATTATTAGGTGTAATAACTTTTAGCACGCTGAACTATGTAACTATTTATTAAAGATTACAAAACTTAATGAAATGTTACTGTTAAGTGACAGCTTTATTACTTTCAAGTGAATTTTTTATGAAAAATGAATTTTTCTGTGTTACAAGTTTTGAATTTCGTTGCATTTTACTATTATATCAGTAGGAATTAGAAATGTGATCTAATTTTTTTATTATTTTGTTTATTTATTATTGTTTTGTTTCAAATATTTTTGATTGTTATTTCTTCAAATAGGTTGTCAAGGAGATCTAATGTAAACAAATTTTTTGAGTAACTTAAGTTTAAACCAATTTATTCTTCAGAATAGTATTTAGTTTCAAGAACTGTGGTTACAATGTTAGGATATCCTGTCAAGTGCTTGAAGTTCAGATATATATTGAAAACTAACTTTTTGAGAATTAATCCGTTGATATGGAAACGTTGCAGTTCATGTAAATATTCCAAACTGTATTTATTTTCTCAATTTTTTTAAAATTTACTAATTGTTAATTAAGTTTTTGAATTTGTTGACTGTTTGTTGCTCTTAAATGAACTTTTTAAAGTAATTTTTGGTATTATTTCAATAGTCAGTATGCAGGTGCTTTATAATGGGTGGTGAATGTGACCTCCTGACATGGTTTTTTGAAGCTTTCCTCCCAAGGAGAATAAAAAAGTTGCAGTTTCAGTACCTTATGCTAGAAGCAAAGCTATAATTTTAAGCTATATATACTATCTTACTGTAAAGAATTGTGTAGGTTTAGAACTTACATACTTTAAAAGTTATTAAACTTTTTTAAAACTTGCCAATTTTGTGATATTTTTCTGCCTAGAAGAAAAATGACAAAATCGCTGCCCTATTCTCAGATTGCAAATTTTTATCAGCCCAGATAATGAAGCATTGGGTTAAATTTTTAAGTATTTAAAAATTAAAACTCAAATGCTTTTCATTTTCATAAAACTGCGGCTTTTCTCTATATTTGCTTATGCCATTTTCAGAATAAGTATAGAGTGTACTAGCTTTAAATAGGCTAACCATGATTGAAGAGTCATGTTTTGTTAGAAACTCACAACAGTTATGCAAATATTAAATTATTCGCAAAAAGGCTGCATTTTGTGTGACAACAGAGTTTTCAAAAAACACCCTTAATATTCACTACTTGATATTTCCATATTGGTACCCGTTAAGACAACTACAATCACCAGGACTTAGAAACGTCTCTAAGTTATTAAAAATTTAAAAGGATAAGCACAGTGGTTTGTCAGAATATGGCTTTATGTTATATCTTTTGAATTATTTCCTGTTTGTAATGTTATTATTAGTAGGTATTTATTTTTTAAAATTCTGTATGCCCTACAATTGATAGTCACTAAATTGTGACACTTATTTTGTCACAGGTACCAATAAGAAAATCTTCATCTCTTGGAAATCTGTTAAAAAATAAATAAAAATTCTTTGCGCTCTATTTAATTAATAGAAAATTTATAATTATTGGGAAAGTCTTGAATATTTAAAAAATACCGAATTCTTAAAAAAAGTAGAGTGTTTTGTTTTTAGCAAGTTTAGAACTTTTAGATATCTTTTTCATTTTATAACTAGAAATAAAAGACTAAATAATTTATTGCTTATTTCAGGTAAAAAAACAAATTGAGTATCGTCCTAAAATTCTAAGTTTGCAGAGCTACTTCTGTATATTCTTAACTCCACAATGATAATGAAAAGCGTAAATTGCAGGTTGTAAAAAAAAATTAATGAAATGTGTGAAAATCAAGTTATTTTTTTAATATTTAATTTTCAATGTTTTTTTAGTTTTATGATCCTGTATTGAATAATCAAATGAATATTAAGCATTAAACATTTTTAAATTGATTAAATATTTAATTTGTATATTTTAAGAAATGTAATTTCTATACAGACCTAATTTTAAATTTGTATAGCTTTGCGTGTGTCTCATCAATCTTAATGTATATTTCTATTTTTATAACAATGTAGAGTATGCATATTTCTCAGAATTAAATTATTGAACCGATATAAATCAGAGAATGTTTTTAAAATTATAAATCTAAACATATATTATTAATAAGAACATAATTTTTAAAATCAATTACATATTTAGAAATGTACATATTTTTTTTTTACAAGATACCTAAGACTAAATAGTTCATGAACTTTATAAAAGTGTGTAGTTTTAATTATTCATATTATTTTGCTATTTAAAACATTTCTTTGTTAATATTCTAATGTTGTTTTAAGAAACAGAATTTTTAGAAGTTATATTATGTATTCCTTTCTCCTAGCTATTACATCTGAAATTTTGAATAAATTTCAAAAGAATTTTGAAGCAGATCCAAAAAATATTGTGGTACAAAATGCATGTTTTAAAAATGATCCTTTGGAGCTAGCTGTTCAACGGAAAATTGTAGAAACATCTGCTCATGTATTTACTCACAAAGTAAGGTTTCATTTTAACTATATCAATCATTATCTATTCATCTTCCATAAGTTAGTATTTTATACAGGATATCTATCCCTGAAGGCAAATATTGAAATACTCAAAGAATTTTAAATTAGCTTTCAATTTCAAAGCTAATTGAAAAGGAAAAAAAATTGGTTAAAAAGTATAAAACCTAAAAATGTTAAAATTCGTTAAGTGTTTCTTTATTAAAGATTTTTACAGAAAATAAATCATAATATTAATGTTCTTTCTCAAATAACTAGTTAGTTTACAACTATTTTTTTCATTCTTGTGGTTAGACAGCTCTCACTTAGGAAAGTAAAAAAATTTATGAACTTATAAAAATATTTGTAATTAATGTCTAATTTTATAAAATTAACTGTGTTTAACTACATAATTTAGAAAGTTACATTTCTTTGGTATTATTTATTGAATTTCTTATATTATCTTTAGTTTCTAGGTTATTCATTTTAATGGAAATAAATTGAAATTTGATTTAATATTGTGTTTCAGATTGATGATACAAAACCTATTACTAATCAGAAAAGTTCAGGGAGATGTTGGCAGTTTGCAACTCTTAATGTGTTAAGAGCTCCTTTTGTTAAAGAACACCAATTAGAAGATTTTGAGTTTAGTCATAGCTATATATTTCTATGTGATAAGGTAGGTAACCATATTTTTTAAAATTAAGTTTAAAATTTATTTTTTTTTGCTTGAAAACTTTTTTTCTTACTTTTAGAAAATTCTTGTTAAAAAAATATTTCATTGATTTTTGCATTTAATATTTGTTTTTTACAAAGTTGAGAAATAAAGGTTAAGAATACAGATTTGTGTTTTTATTTTATTTTAATTTTACATCATTTAAGCATGTTTAAGGAAATAAAAATCACATAACATAAAGTATAAGTATTCCTTTGATATAGTCAAATAAAAAGATTGAATATGAACTATGTCTTTATTCAAAATTAAGGGTAAAACTTTGGGATTTTTAATTTAATAATATGTGTTTTAGACATAAGAAATAAATATTTTTTTATTTATTTTAGATTGAAAGATGCAATTTCACATTGCACACCATTGTGGAAATTCTGAAGAGAGGAGAGCCAATTGATGGTAGATTAATGTCCTTTATTTTAGCCGATCCAATAGCTGATGGTGGCCAATGGCATATGGTTGTTAACCTCATTTCAAAGTATGGTGTTATACCCAAGAAATGCTTTCCAGAGACATTTTGTTGTGAGACTTCTGCTCGTTTGAATGGTATTTTGAAAACTAAGGTACGCCATTTCGACTTACTTGAGTTTCAAAGAAATTTATTCAGGCAAAATTTATTTACTCATAATTATAGCGTCTTTGCATAATTGTTCCTTATTGTTCAGTTTCTTGGGCAAATTATTCAAAATCTTTTGTATTATTCAAAATTCTGACTCTGCCACTTTTTTTTTTGTATTTTATTTAAAAAGTACACAGACTCCAGCAATTTCAGGTAATGTTTATGCTTAAAAGTATTTACATGGTTGAAATTTGTTGTTTTAAAAAGTTTGATTTTTCTTTTTAGTATTTTATTTTAAAAGAACAATTAATGATCACATAATTGTCAAAATATTGAATTGAGAAAAGGGACTCAGTTTAAAGAAGTATTGCACATAATCATAAATTTTAGTGGATTATTGAGTCTTCTTGAAATTGAAGGAGCATTTTCTAATAAATTTTTTTAATAAAATTCCACGCTTTTTAATTTCATTCATTCATTTACATATGTAATGTTATTTTATGTGTTTCTTTTCTGCCTAATTGTACATATTTATCTTATAATTTTTTAAAAAGGTAATCCTATAAATACTTTTGTTAGGTTCATACATAATTATATTTTTATTTAAATGTACAGGGATGGGAATCCTTAGTGACTTTTACCAGGTTGCCAATTTCTGTTTGATAATTATTCCATTACCCCTATAATATGATAAAAAAAATTATGGAAATTAAATCTAGAGTTTTGCGATTACATGTTCTATTCACCACTGGACTTGAGATGAAATGATTATAACTTGAACGCATCATAAAGTGATAATTCAGTAACATTTTCTAAAATTCTTAGATTGTAAAAGTGTTATATCAGAAAAGAAATCAAGATTTTATCAAAATTGCTATCATTCTAAGCAATAATTGATAAAAATTCGATTGGCAAAACCTTATGGATTATAAAATTGTTGCAAATCAAGAGCATCAAAAAATGATTCATCAAATGAGTAATTTGAAATGTTCCAAACAAAAAAAGAAAAAAATTAGCTTAAGCCTTGTGAGAACTTGTGGCAATAACGAAAATCCAATTCATAAAACCACATGGTTTTACTGGAGAAATTGTCATGAATTAAATAATTTTAAAAACTAAGCTGAAATATGAGCCAAAAATGCTATGCTATAGGAAATGAGTAAAATGTAGAATTTATCAGAAAATAAATGAAAATTGATTTTGCACATTATTATGGATTATGTTAAGTATTATCAGCACATATCTATATATTAATAGGCTAGCAATATTTTGTCTCGCTAAAAACTCCCAAACTACGCAACAGAATTAAACAAATAAGGTGTCGTTTTAAAGGTATTGTTATGTAGATGTGCAATAAGGTCTTAAATTATGAAAATTTCCTTTAATTAATTAATAAAATTAATAATTTAGTTTCAACCAATGAGAATTCAGCAAATCATTTTTCGGGTGGTTCGCATAAGCATTGTTTCCGTAAGCATCGTTTGATTTAAAGCATTTCTGAATTAATAGATTGATAAACAAAAATAAGAGTGGATAAAAAAAAACGGAACTGAATTTCTTAAAAAAAGAATTCAATATCTTTAGTTCCTTTGATAAATTTTTAGTTTCATGATAAATTTTTTGTTTCGTTACAATAGAATGGCAATGGCATCGTGCGAATATTCAAACCAAAACAAACGTGCGAATATTCAAACCAAAACAAACTTTCTACAAACAATTATTTTGATTTGAGATTTAAAACGATATCTTAGTTATTTAGTTCTATTTTTATTTATTTAGTGCCTGCTGCCTAAATAAAATGCCTGCTATCAGGCGTCGAAATATCTCTGGCAGACGTCAGAGAAATGAATGGCGGAATTCTAAACGGGAAAGCATTTCTCGCCGAAGGGAATCGCCACCTCTACAAATTCGAGATTTTTACAAATCTGCATTGACTGTTCATGACGATTGTGACCCCTTTACTATTGGATCTATGACTTTTATTTGTAACTTTTGTCATGCTAAGCATTTTATGTTAGAGAAGACAGGAAGTAGCAATGAATATGGTATTTGCTGTCAGAAAGGCAAGGTTGATCTTCCTTTATTGTCGCATTCACAATATTTTGAGAATTTGATTACTGGTGTAACATCTTTAGACCATACTGCAAAGAAACGACCCCAAAATTATTTGGACAATATTCGCTCCTATAATTCTGCGTTTGTCATGATAAGTTCTGAGACACACTTAGATGAAAGTGTAACAGGTGGAATGTATCATTTTAAAATCCATGATACATTTTACCATCGTGTTGGTTCACTTATACCAAGTGAAGGTTGTCAGCCAAAGTACGCTCAGAATTACTTTTATGATGTAGATACAGCAGTTGAACACAGAATGCGTGAACAAGCTAATGTCAAATGTTAAGATAATCAAATTGTGAAGGGGGCAGAGAAGTGTATAAATTTCATTAAGTAATTGATTTCAATATCTGGCATTTTTATTTTAAAATTTAAATTTGTTAAAATGTTTTTATTTGATTGCGAAGCAATATGCAATGGAACTGCGAAGCAGTTCTGGGGGTTGACGAGAGTAGCGAGCAGGGGGCGGAGCCCCCTAGTAATAAATTTATTTCAAAACAGTTAAAATTCCATAATAAGTTAAGTTTTGTTTTCTGTATCTTTGATTCTCAAGGAAGTGTATAACATAAAAATATTTCCTGTGTAACATAAAGTATCATAAATGTTTAATTCCAAATTTTTTTCAGCTTTTTTTTTTGAAATTGTGTTGTCATACCTAAATATAATATTACATTATATATTATTTACCTATTGAATATTATAATATCAATATATTTTTTTTTGTATTAAGTGTATTGAGTTTTAATATACTATTTATGTATTTTTCTTATATATTAAGTAAGATAATTGAAAAGTTTATATGCATTATTTGACTGTAAACTTAAAAAAAATCTCATTACAGCTTAGAGAATATGCTCGAGACCTAACCTTGCTGTATGAAAAAAAAGCTAGTGATGAAGAAATTGATAAGAAGATTTTATCTTGCATGGAAGCAGTATGTATTTATAGGCTTAATTATATTGTTTAGGTTCTTAGTCATTCAAAAATTTTTTTGAGTACTTAAATCATTTCATTGATTTACGTTTATTGCCATTTTCTTTAAGTATATGTAATATTTTGGATTCATTAACATTTCTGTTTTGCTTTTTCTTTATTTAAATTTATTAATCCTATTACTTTAAATATTCAAATTTATATTGTAAAACTGTGGAGTATTTAATTAAATGTAAATTGGGTTATGTGTAAAATTTCTATAATAGTTTGCATTATACAGTACATTATAAAATTTTTGTGTCATAAGCTGTGATAGAAATTTAATAATTTTCTTAAGTTGCATTATGTAATAGCAAATGTTCTATAATGCTATTTATATTTAGATCCTTTTAGTAAAAAAAGTTTATTTATTCAGTTATACTGAACTATTTGGCCGGCTAAATAATCAGTAAAACTAAATAATTCCCTTTTTATTTCCTAAAAAATAGTTCATTTATGCAAATAAGTGGTTTGATTGAAAGATTTATATTACCATTTATGTAATATTTAGCTTCACATAATTGATATCCTATTGTATTTTAATATTTTGTTTGCTGAATAATTTTTATAAGTTAATAAGACTAGTTAATTTGATTTATCATTAGTATTTTTGAATGATAATAAAGTTAAATAATTTCTATTTCACCTATTTGAAATATGTAAGCAGTCTGTATGATTCTTGTAAAGCTAATATAGCCTTACAGAAAAATTAGATTAGTCTGTAATTTTATCCACAAGTTAAAAAGTGATAACTTTTGTTTTATGTTTGGTAGTTTTTAAATATTCTGTTCCACTATTAGGTTACTGAGATTTAGGTAACAATATGTCTCATGTATAGGATATAAAACCCTTTTCTTAGTTACTACATTTTTTATAAGATTTTCAAAAATATATTTTGAGCAATGAAAGAAATTAATTTTAAAACAAATAGTTAAATACTTAAATAAAAAATAGAATGCCTAATTTATTTAAGAAAAGTAATATGTGTTTGAATTTTTTCTAATTGAGCTTAGTCAGAATTATTTTAAAATAGTATATTTTTTGAGATTATTTGTAGTTCCATGCATGCTGTGAATGTTTCAAACTGTGTAAAAATTTAAAATTTTTACTCTAATTTTATTTTTAGAACTAACAAAATAAATAATTTCATAAATGTTTTGTGGGCAATAGCATTTATAAAACTTATAGACTTGTCTGTGAAATAAATAAAAATAGTCTGCAATTTTAATGGAAATGTTTGGAAGTGCTATATATATATATATATATNTATAAGTATATATATTCTATTAATTTGGAATTGGTATGATTTAGTAGTTAGCCACACCTCTAAGCATTAAATGTTGAAAACAATAGATGAGGAAAAGAGTTTAACGAGCTTTTATTTCAACAGATCGGATTGTTCCGAAATGGAAATTTAGTAACCTCTATAAAGATCAGTAGGGAGAATGAGTGTTTATCCTAAACTGAACTGGCTTAATAATTGTTTATATTTAATAGTATTACATATGAAGCTGCTTATATTGTTAAAAGGCTATTTAAAAAATTATTATTTTTTTTTTGCAGCTCTACAAAGTTATAGTAATTTGTCTAGGATCTCCACCTGAGACATTTACTTGGGAATATTACAACAAAAGTAAAGCTTACAATGTTATTGGGCCGATCACTCCTCTTCAATTCTATGAAACCTATGTCAAGCCATATTGTAATGTTGAAGACAAAGTAAGTTTTTACATCTATTTATATAATACATAGTTACTCTTAAATTATTATTATAAGTTCCAAATTTTGGGAATTGTTTGTTTTATTCAATTTGCTCTTTGTAATCTAAACTTGAGGGAAACGACAAGATATTTTTGAGCTATTCAAGACTTTAGTTCGATTTTTTCTTATTGTTGACTATATGAAAGCCTTAGGGATATTCTTATATTTTANTGTTTTATTCAATTTGCTCTTTGTAATCTAAACTTGAGGGAAACGACAAGATATTTTTGAGCTATTCAAGACTTTAGTTCGATTTTTTCTTATTGTTGACTATATGAAAGCCTTAGGGACCCATTTGAATTATTAAATATTTCATTTTAATCATCTTTGAAAGGAAATCCTGTTTTAAATCTACAATAAATAAATGGAACTCTAGCCTAATGTAGTAGCTAAAGATAATTTTTTTTTCTTCTATTAGAAAGAATATTTTTTCTAAAAAAAAAAAAAGATTTCTTAATATAATTATTTTTCTAATAAAGAGTTAGTCAGGACTGGCTCTTTATTTAATGACAAATTGAATAAACAATATCTAATGAGTTATTTACCTATGTTAAATACACCCAGTAAATTATGAATGTAAATATTTTATTCATTACTTATTTGATCTTAAACTAAGCTAATTTATTTTCTATTTACAGAGCAATTCATTATAAAGCCTTGAACCTTCAGATAGTTATTTTTTTATTTTTTATAAATCCATCAAATGAATCATATTTTTATTTTAAAACCAGCAAATTTACTCAGTCGCAATGCAAATACAAAAGTTTTTTTATTGAAAATCCTATTTCATTGTACAAGAAGGCTTTAAAGGTTATTTATTAAAATTCTTTCAAATAGGTGTTCTTAAAATGTAGTTAGCGAGCCGATGTAGGTTTACATAATCATTGCTAGAGTTAACAATTTCTACATTTTCCTTAACTTCATTCTTTTATTTAAATAACTCATATCAATCATACATGGTCAAAAAATTTTTGTATTTGCTGTAACTAAATTATTAACATAACTGAAACATAATTAGTCGAAATTCAATTATTTTTATTCAACTGCAAGCATAGAAAAACATATGAATAAAATAATGCTATTTTTCTCTTATTCTTTGTTATTACTATTGCACTGCATTGAAACACATAGCAATAAATAGTCAGATTTCAATTACTCAACTATTTTAATAGAAACTTTCAATGTAGCAGGTTTTTTTAAAATTTAATTTTTTTTTAAGCCTCCAAAAGGTAGTTTTAGCAATTATTTTTCTAGTCCTGATTCCATCAATATCATCCATTTAGCATAAAATTTACTAATGCTAAACATTTATGTATATTTGAGCAAGATATTCTCATGGAATTATCATGCGATACCACGATGTGAATAAATATGAAACTACAATTCAACATTACTGAACTCACAAAGTTTTGATTACTACTCTAACTTAATTTTAATAACCCTGCATTATAAATAAAGTTCCTTAATATAAGATTCTATTCTGCCTGGCATTTATATGAAAAAGCTTTTCCAATAGTCTTTCTGTAAAGTTCAAGTATAAAAGCAAATTCAATTAGATAAAAACTTCAGTATAAAACTTTTCAACACTGCAGTTTTGGTTTCAATGAAAACAACTGTATCCATTTCATTGAAAAAATTACTTACCCGATACATTATAATATCTATTTTGAATATTTTGAAATTTTTTTTCAGCTCATTTTATGTTTTATATAAATGCACAAGAGACATATTAAAATAAGTGAAAATTTTTAATTAATATGTATTATAATGTGCCAATATTTAAGGCCAGAAATTTGCTCTAATATAATACTTGAGACCTTCCACTAGGCTCTTCACTTATTTTAAAAAGTGCTATTTTTTAACATAAATTGCTTCTTTAATAATACTTGGATACTTATCGATGCAATTTACTTATTGTATATTTTTAGATTTGCTTTGTTAATGATCCCAGACCACAAAACCCATACGATAGAACATATACAGTAGATTGTTTGGGAAATATGGTTGGAGGTCTGAAGACTGTTTATGTGAACAAAAAAATTAAGGAAATTTTAGGCTATGCTGCTAAGTCCATCCAAAACAATGAGGTAAATATTAGTCATTGTTGCTCTTAATGTGTGCATTTGTTTAAAAATTTATTTATTTTTTGTATTCTGTATTATTCAAGTTGAAATCAATCTATAAATAGATATATAAATGTAATTAGATCTTATTTTTGTAATGATTTAATTGTCATATTAAGTTTTTTCTATAAAGATTGCCCTCAAGTTATATTTTAAGAATCAATCATTATATTTTTAGAATCATTATGAAATATGAAGACAAAAAAAGGTGTGCACTTTAATGATTGCAAATTCATATTTAAGTGAAGTAAAGAAATTTGACAAATAAAAGGGCTGGTGGATAGACCCTCAAGACCTGTTCGATTGCAGGGAAATCAATAAACTTTAATATTTGTATGCTTTTCAATATTGATTTTAGATTTTATCTTCAAAAGTATATACCTTTTATGCCTATAATAGAATGCGTTTATAGCTTAAAAGGATCTATTGAATTATTCTTTAAGGTATATTGCTTACTTACAAGCTAATTGAATAAATAATAAAAATCTTTTAATATTTTGTGATGATATAACACTTTTGAGGTGAATTCTTGACTATCCATCAAGGACTCTGACCCGAAAAATTTCTGATGCTCCAGATAATTAACAAAAGCTCCAGTTACTCTATCCACAAAAAGGCATGCGAACATGTTGATGTTAAAAGGGTAAAATGTTTTTAGCAACAGAATAACTAAGATATGTATATGTTTATATATATGCGTGTATGTGTATATATTAGAGATGAATCTGTCTTGTGTACTGAAAAAAGGTTTCAGGTTTATGTGGGCTCCCACTCATCATACAATTCATTAATTAATTGTGATAGAAAGGTTTTGATGACTATTTTTCTTGTTTAGGGATCAAAAATTGACTGGCGATACTGCAAAATTTGGTTTTTATCTGACATATGTCTTAGGCTCTGTGTAATTTTATGTCTCTCGGGCTTGGATTAAAATTCTTTGGACTTCTTGCCTTCAAAAATGAGCAAATGCACGTGCACACATATATATATAGTTTCATTATAAATCTTATTAATGGAAATTCTTTGACATAAAATCAAAAAATAGTTTGAAGGAATTCATGTTAAACATATGTTCATATTAATGAAGGTCAGAAGATTTAAAATTGATAGGATTTTAAAGTATTATTTTGTGCTAAGATAAAAAATTAATTTTTTCTTGTAACTCGATTCTGAAAAATATTAATTAAATAAACATAAATCAAGACAAATTGCTACTTTTTTATATTAAGAAAAATAAATCATTTTTATAATTCTTATATTAGTTGTGACGCCCGGCGGCTGAGTGATAGCGTTTCGCACTCTTGTACCACAGGTCCTGGGTTCAGGCAAGGTTGACTTTGCCTTTCATCCCTTCAGTGGGTTGATAAAATGAGTACCAAACATGCCTGGGGACTAAACACTGGGGGTTTCGCGTTTGGTTGACCACCCAACCGAAACATCTTCTCCTGCATCTCGGAGCCCAAGAAAACTTAAGATGGGCACAGTAGGCCTTGGCCCTCAAGGTGCTGTTGTGCCACTGAGTTTAGTTTTATATATAGTTTCATTTTTCTTTTGTGACATTCAATTTTTCTTAAAAAATATGAATTTAACCTTTTATTTATTAATTATTTTTTTTAAAAATCTTAGCCTATTTAGAATTCTATAACACATTTTTCTCTTTATACAGCCTGTTTGGTTTGGTTGTGACTTTGGAAAAGTATATAACTTGAAATTAGGTATCCAAGATCTTAGAATGTGAGTGCATTTTTTCTCCTTCTATTTAATACTTTTTTATTTCAGTAATAGTAAATTTGAATCTCGTGTTACAACTTTCTCTTATTAGTTATAGGATACATGACATATATGTGAAAAATATTTGCTGTGATTTTTGATAAGTTATTTGATTGATGAGTGCTTAAAACCTTTACTGGGTGTTCTAAAATTAGACTGACGCTTTTCAAAAATTTGCAACAGGAAAATGATTAAGGTTAAAAATAACAATTCTTGCAGCAAATTTGACAATGTAAATTTGTTTCATCCAGAGTTCGTGATTTTAGTTTAATATTTCTTAGATGTATTGCACTGTAGATAGTAAGTAATTATATAAAAGAAAGAGAATTAAAACTGAACACTCACATCATGACTAGCCACATTGCAACACAATATTCTTAAGGCTGATAGTTGATATTTCAAAGATAGGTAATGTGGTTATCATTTGATAAAAAAACTTTTGAAAAATTGTGATGCAATTTCCAATTATACTTCTATTTACTATCTGTTTCATGTGTCTAAAACTTTTTGAACTCAAACCAAAAAACCTTAAAATGTTTTCCTGTTATAATTAGTTCATACTTAATTTTTATTACTTAAGTAATTTTTAAATCTATGCAAACTGACTATAATTGAAAATTCCTAAGTTCTGTTATCATTATAAATATTGTGTGTTAGATCATCTTAAATCTTTTGATTTTTCTCTTTTTCAGTCATGATTATAATTTGTCATTTGGTGTAGACTTACATAAAACAATGTCCAAGGCTGAAAGACTAATCTATGGCGATACCATTATGAATCATGCCATGACCTTCACTGCTGTTTCTTTAGACGTAAATATATTTGTTTTCATATATTTTGTTAATATAAATTACAAGATTACAGAGTTGAACATTGGTAGTTGTAAATTCAAATTTGGGTCGGCGACTTTTCAACGCCGTTATAAAATAAAAGTATATTATCCCTTTTTAGTTAATAAGAATTTACATTTTCTTTTGCTTCCTGGTTGTTATCTGTCACTAACCTGCATTATTTCGTTACAATAATTTTATTAATATACCCTGATAAAGCTCAAATTCACTGCTTATTGTTTTTATTTTATCCATGTATATTCAAGACCACTTACTGCCGGTACAAAAAGTTCTGCATGCAACTCTGGAGCGCTTGTTACTTTTTTTAAAAAAATAATTGCTTAGTAAAGAAGTTAATCACGCTTAATATTTCTTGATTTTTTTGCCGGACTAAAAGAAAAGGCAATGTATGTAACAATATCCTTATACCATATGCCAGTTTACACTTTAAAGAAGATATAAATATTTTTCCCACAGTAATGGATTTCATTGTTTAAATAAGAAAAAAACATTTCTTGAGAAAAAGCACTTAAAATTGCATTAACTTTCGAACAAATTGGAATTTTTAGGGGAGAAATACTCACATTAGATTGATGAGTACATCCAGTTTTCCACTCTTTAGTTTTTTATTTTGGTGGGCAGTAGATAAATTCACATGGCATTTCTTGCAACAAGTTTAACAGTTGATAATTCTTAAACTAATGAATAATTATAATTTTTTTTTTATTCCATTGTATGCCCTACACATTTTTCTAGTTTCAAGTTTTTAAGTCTTATAGTTTTTGTACAGCAAAACAAAATGCAAAGTTAAGTCGAACACCCAAAATAGGTGCAACGTTCATCTTTTGATATCTATAGGGTACTGAAAGTGACAAGTGTAATGCAGTTCTATGAAGTTATATTAAATTTTTCTGTTTTAATGTATCACAATTGTATTTTAGCATCCTAGAGACAATGTTTATTTCATTAAAACAAAATTAAAAGTAATTGTTGAATTTTATTTTAAAAAATGACTTTTTATTGTTACTGTGTTCCTTATTAATAATTATTTATTTTTTGTCCAGTCAAATGGAGAACCTACTAAATGGAGAGTTGAAAATTCTTGGGGTGAAGATAGAGGTGAAAAAGGTACTAAAATTTTTTTCAATATTGTGAGGTCTTTAGTAATTATAAATTTTTTTTTTTGTGGTAAACATTTTATGTATGCTATTTGCAGGTTATCTAATGATGACTTCTGAGTGGTTTGAGGAGTTTGGCTTTGAAATTGTAGTTGACAAGAAATATGTGCCAGAAGAAGTTCAAGAAATTATGAAAATGGAGCCTAAAGTTTTACCTGCCTGGGATCCTATGGGAAATCTTGCATTGTGAAGATTTTTTTAAATATTTATGCAATCATAATTTTTTTTATCTTCAATAAAACTAAATTATCTTGAAATGAATCACCATAAGTTCTAAAGTATTTATTTCAGTAAGAAATAGTATAATTTTAGATTTTTAATTTCAAATTCTAATGATTTATTCAAACATTAAATCAAATATTTCAATCAAGTTTGATTAAATAAACCTTTTAATTGTTTATTGGTAAAACACTTGTTTAAATTAATATAATCATGTGTTTTAAATGAATTATTTTTTCATTGAAACGAATAAGATTAAAAATGCATATATTTTTACTGAGTATGAATTATATTCAGGTTTTTAACTTTATTTCATGGAATTCATTGTTTTGATGTAAGAATTCTGTGTTTGTACTTAAATAATATTTGTGGTACTGTATACAAGGTTTGCTTGTAATAACGTAATAAAATAAAATTTCTTTAGGATAAACAAAAGCTGTATTTTTTTTCCTTGATGTTTTTTTTAAAAAAAATTAACATGTTTATAGAAAGAAAAAATTCAGTATGTTCATAAATAAATGTAACATTGAAAATATGTTAAAAGAAATACAATGAATTAGAGTAAGCAGAATAATTACTACAATATATATCTTAAAATGTAAGGAAGACTGATCACTATCAGAAAACCAGATTTGCATAACTGTTAATGTAAGAATTCCTGTATTTGACATAGACCTTTAAAATTGTCCAGATTTGGGCCATGAATGAGAAAGATAGTGAAGTTAGCCATTACACTTCACTAACCTTTTCAGTAACTTCACTTTCTACCTCCGGGTTCAAATCTTTTGTTCTTAGCTAGGTTCAGTTTTTTTTTTACCAAGTTGCACATTAGCTGATCAAAATCATAAAAGCAGAACTTTCTTCTTAGTTTGCTTACAAAATTTTAGGTAAGAAAGCTAATGTTATATCAAAAAATTAACTATTTTATTATCATATAATAGTGTATAAAGTGCCAAGTATAAACGACGATAGTTTTTAAAACAAGGAATTTCGCAGAATGTATAATTATTTAACATAAATTTCACATAAACTAAAAAACTGGTCTTACAGAAATTTGAAAACTCACTGCATTATCTTTCTAATTTAATATTCTGAGAACATAAAACCCTTCCTAATATTCTCTAACAAAAATAATTTTTTAAATAATTGGTAAGGTGAAAAGGTGAGTTTTTGAATGTTCTGTTAGAAATTTTGCTACCAGTTTTTTAGTTTTTGGAGGACACTGGTCAACTTATAACTATGTAAAGTGTGAGAGGAAATTTTTACTTTATTTCTATTTGATAGATCTTGGTTTCTTGGAAATCTAGCTAGCATGAAAAGGGAAAAAATTCAATGAATATTTTTAAAATTATGCACTACTTTTTGTGTAATATCAAAAATTGTTTTAGACAAGGAATATGTAGCCAATAAAATATAAAAACTAAGTTACACTTATAAACATGACTGCAATACTTTCCATTTATGATTAACATTATACTTATTGCAAAATATTTTTGAATTCATAATTTTGAACAGTAAGAGATATTGATGTAACTGATTGTAATATATTTTTATAGAGGTCTGAATAAAATAAAAACTTCAAATACATTACTACAAATGAGGTTTTCATTGTTAGGTAACACACTTAAGCAATAATGGAGTAAAGCACATATTCTGATTGGAAAAATTCACATCAAACCAGATCATGTGCTGCAGGAAGCACCAGAAGTTAACTAAATGCTATATACGATTTTAAAAAAACACACACACTTCTAAATTTAAATTTTTAATAGAATATTTTAACATCAATAAATATTAATGTACAATTGTACTACAGTTGCTATATACATCAGTATTGCTCAAAACACTTAATTTTTGATTTACAACGCCTCTTTCTGTTTTCCGACAAAGTATATTTTAGTTTGTTCCACACTGCAATGCACATGTTTTTCAACCTGAAATCTTTTGATCCTTCAGAGCCGATAGCAAATTCATACAATTCCCTGGAAAAGTTACATATAAACTTTAAAATTTTGAAAACATTTATTAAACTTATTTTTTTTTTTTTTAGATTGTTAGCATTATGAAAATAGAAAAATTGTTCATATATGTTTGACTAATATATGGATTGTCTAAAACTCTAATATGTTAATGCCATTCTGGTTTATAATTCCCAAACAGCATAACTATTGCTTGGAAACTGCCATAAACCCGAAATTGTCAAACTTGTAAAAATGGCTCTACTCTGTATTATTTTCGTGCGAAAAATATTTATTTGCTGTGGTACTTAGCAAATATAGCCTGAATTCAAATTTGACAGTTACGTTACGAAATAAAATTGGCTATCACAGTTATACAAAACATTTGTTACAATTACTATTTCATTTAATGACGCAAAAAACACTTACATGTTTATTAATTTATCTTTATAATACTTAATTCCCCCATAGTATATCTTTAAGGATATTTTTGTACATTTTCTTGGTTAAATAAGCTCTTCACATTGTTTGATGCACAAGACAACCAGCCTATCACATTTGTTATCGCCATGGCGTTTCTTTATTAATTAGTAATCCTTTTTCTTTTAAGTCTATCAATTATGGCATACATTGAGCATTTTGTAATTAAACTACACAAACATAATGTTATATATCAGTTATGAATATAAATTTTATTAAAAAATTATACTTCTAAAAATTTTCTTAAGTGTCTCAGAAGTGGCATAGACTAAATGTGCAAATGAGTGTTACCTTTTGCCTCTGAATTAAAAAATTCTTATATGTCTAAGGATATTAAATAGTAATTTTTTTCACTTTATTTGATAATTTTCAATCAGCACAAGAGAATGGTATCAAATTTTAAACAATAGAGAATATTACCTTATTAGATTTTTAGCTTTTGAATAATATCCTCTTTGCAAAAGACTCATAGCAAGATAAATTTTACACTGGCAAATTGTAATGGGATCACCTAATCTCAAAGCTAGTTTAAGTTGTTGCATGGATATCAAACCAGCTTTTTCTGCCTGAAAAAAGCACAAAATTTTACCACAACTCATGAACCATATAATCTTTAACAAGATTTCGTTTAATATTTTAGTAGACTTACACAATCAACAAAATAATCTCCAAGAGCTGAAAATGCTCCACCAAGTGTAGATAGCCAAGCCATTGCATTATCTAATTCACATCTTTCATTGATAAGAACTTCTAGCTTCTTATTCCTAAAAAGCATTAATAAACTTTCAATTCTAATGTTATTAGATAATGTTAAAAATATCTTGAAATAGTATAATCTAAGTACCTAGGCAATATATTATCTTATTTATTAAAAGCATTTACAAGTAATCTAACTAAAGTTACAAATATATTAATAATAGTTAATTGAATATATCACTCCTAAATACTCAACTAATTGTTATTAAATATAATTTATAGTACTTTTCTGAAATAATTCTTAGGAAGTATACAATTATAACTAAGGATGTACTGCCTATCTTAGCATCTTTCAGGCTAACATAGTATGTGTTGTTCATAGGCAGTGCCCATTGAAACTATAGGGTCAGGTGAGATAAAATGGGCCACTTAGATTTTATAAATTAAATACAAAATATTTTATTTAAATCATTGTAACCAGTTCTGCATTTGTTATAATTTTCTTATCATTAGGTTTAAGAATATGCTAATACAAAAATAATTGTTTGCAAACTGTGGATTTTGTTGTGCTAATTGGTTTAATGACTTTTGAAAATTCCTATATTTTAACAATACATATTTGTGTGTTTTCGGAAAGAAAAAAAAAGCGTTTAATAATAAAAAATGTTTTCTGATAAAAAGAAGAACATCTTAAGCTAATCGAATAAAATTATATAAAAAATTTTCTTTTTAATTTCAAATTTTTGTAGGTGTGGTGAAATAGGTCATAATTTGACTTTTATAAATTTATGCTGAGTATTTAAATACTCTGATTGGCTTAAAATGAAGGGTTGTTTTCAATAATCATAAAAATTTGAAAATTATTATCATCCCTATTCAAAGATGTTGTCTTAAAAACTTTATCATTACTACAATTGAATGTCATTAAGGCTCCTGTTATAAACTATAATAAGACACATATCTAGAGAAATAATAAATGCAATTATTTAATGTCATTATGAATAATCAAAAGAGAAAATATGAACTTTGAATTGCTACATAATACTATTCAGTTATAAGTTTACATTGAACTAATTTTTTTTCTAGCCAATATTGGTTATAATAGCCACCAATGTGTGTTTAGGTTGGAGTTATATTTGTACAAATAATAAATGTGATGCAATGATCAGGAGGGTGGGAGAAGGGGGTAACATTACTGATGTTGCTTGTTATACCTTCAATAAAACTTTCAGAGAAATTTTTCCAACATAAATTTCTCTGAAATTCACCACAATGTTTTTTTTTTTTTTTAAGGTGTCCAGTTGTTTTGGTGAGCTGGGGATTCTCATTTGATGTGAGGAACAAAATCTTAATAGCGTGATTGTCTGATATAAATTTGCCTGAAATTCACCTGATGTTTTTTTAAGATTAAGGATTTGAATTTTTTTCAATCTATCTACATTGTAAAGAAAGTAAGTGAGTAAGGGAAATTCAGATTAATTTTATAGTGAGATGCAGAATCTTTGTGTGTCTGGTAGTACTGGCTGAACTGTACTTGTAGGGGTGATTTTTTAAAAATTGCACTCGAGAATGTTGTGTTGGTTTGCATTGAAATAGAAGTACATTTGTCGTGAGTGAAAAAATTAAGTGACAGTGAAGTTTATTTAATAACTGATTAATGCTGTGTACCTGTTTACACATTGATGAGTTTAATAAAAAAAATGGTATAAGCAGTGAAGTATTATGCAGAGGGGAAAAAATGGGACACACGTTTTATAAGTGAGTATGTTTTACAAGTTTATATTTTAATGCATTATTATATCTTTTTTTTCATTAAAAAAATGCATATTTTTTAAAATTTAAATTAATTTATTATTTTTTTTTGAAAAATAGGTTTTTGATCTCGATCAAACATTATATTTGTTTACTGAGGAAAATGAATGGTTTCTGGCACATATATTGGTCTCTTTATTACTCAATTTAGTGCAGAGCAGAAAAATAAAATCTGTGGCCTGTGTGCAAATAGTTGATACAAAGCTGCAACATTTTTTATTTATACGATATATATATTTAATGACATTAAAGAATAGTTTATCAAATTTGATTTAGAATGGGAACAAATCTGTTACCTCTGTATATATATTTGATAAAGATTTGCATTTTTTTTTTAAAAATAAAATGTATATTTATAGATGCTATGATAAAGCATACATTTTTATTTTCTAATTTGAACTTATGCTTTCCATGACATATTTCAGAATTTTTATACTCCCTTATCTTTATTAAGAGTGCACAATATGGTGGAGTAAAAGAAGTTTTGAAAGTTGTTTTCTACTAGTGACCAAACCTTGACCCAACTGACCACCTTAAATTATTATCAATTTATTTTAGCCCTACCTGCATTTGATTTGAATATTAAAAAAACTAATAAATTTTTAAAAAATTTTAGCTTAAAATTAATGCTAATAAAGCGGAAAAAATAAAGAGGAAAAAAAAATTCCATTACAGATTTGAAATTAGGCTGCAAAATCTATAAACCTTAGGAGGATATTTCCGTATTGTGATCCAGAGATGCCAACTGCTCCGGACAAATCAAAATAATTTAAAAAACGGTAAAGGAGAATGAAGTAAATTTTGCAATTATTTGACTATTTTTGCTTGCTTTTTAAAAGCTATAGCATGATAAATGTACTATAAAGTGGTGATTTATATAAGCCTACGAATTATTTAGAAATAGTGGTGGATAAAAATCTACTAAATTGTATTTATTAAACCAAGAATCACAATTGGGAAACTACCACTTTGAAATATATATTTGCTGTCCGGAGCAAGTTGGCATCTCTGCAATTTCGAGAGGGTGACCTCAAATATGTTAATTAATTAGTGCAGACGATATTTCAAGTTACGAAATCAGACCCAAAAACATATTTTCTTTGAATAAACATATATTTTTTTTCTACGGATTCGAGTTTCTCACCCTCAAAATATAGGGGGTAGCCACAGTCTGAGACAGTGATGGGCAAACTACGGCCCGCGGATAGAATTTTAACTTACCGATCGGTGGCAAATATAAACAATATACATCCATTTTCTTGTCTACTTTGCTTAACACGTTCGCGCCGGGAAAAGTGAAAATACTGGTACGGGAAAAGAAAAAATACTGGTAGAAGAACTATTTCAATATTAGATAATATTCGGGAGAAGTTAATCTATTCTCAACAATAACAATTCACCGTAAGGAAATTTATCAAGGCGAAGAAGCAATTCAATGTAAAATTTGCATCCGTTAAAAACAATTGGTAGTTATGGATTTTTATTATTCCCTGAAAAAAACTAAAAAATGAAATGTTTTGTTACCAGTTTTTACTCCGGTGCGCTGCCAAGATGATACAATCTAGCGTGACCCACCGGTGGGTCACCCCGGAGTGAACGTGTTAAAGCTATTTTTGTTCTTTCTTCTTTAACAAAATACTGATGACTTTTTTACTTTCTCTATTTTTGTTCTACAAAGCATAAATTGATGGTTTCAATTGGTAAAATGTTGGAAGCAGAAGTTCTTTATAGAATAGCCGTTGATTGGCGTCATCTGAAGCAGTTGTTTCTAAATATGCCANTGTTGTTGTAGTTCATTTACGTCGCACTAGAGCTGCACAATGGGCTATTGGCGACGGTGTGGGAAACATCCCTGAGGATGATCAGAAGACATGCCATCACAATTTTGATCCTCTTCAGAGGGGATGGCACCTCCGCTTCGGAAGCCCAACAACCTGCACGCGAAGTCGAGCACTTTACGGTAGAACAGTTTAACGAGGACCGATACTGCACATCCTCGGTCCCTAAGCAGACTGATCCAAGTGGTCACGCATCCTCACCCTGACCGCAGCCAGTGATGCTTGACTTCGGTGATCTGCTGGGAACCATGTCTTAACGATCAGTCCACTGCGGGACCTGAAAATCAGGAGAGAAACTGACATATTTCCTTCTCCTATGACACTACCATGGACACTCCACAGGATAATGGTGAAAGCATGTGAAGTGTAGCCATAGGCATTGGCGTCGTCAAATAAAATTTATTTGGGGGGGGGACCAATCTTGGACTCTTACTTGAGAAAAAATTAAAATTAAAGAATTAGTTAAAAAATTAAATTATTAATAAAAGTTAATAAAATCAATAATTAATTTTCAATTATATATATATATATATGCACTAAAATGCCACACATAGATTGATAAAAGTAACTTTAATATTTCTCAATAAAGTTATCGATTACTAACATTTAATGCATAATTAAGAAAACGGAAACGTCTTGATACAATGCAGAGTGTTCCGTGATCTACGCCTTCATATATAATTTTAGAATCATCCTTTTCTTTAAGAGTTCAGTTAAAATTTTTTACAAATTAGGTGTAGTAAACTACTATATAAGAGCAGGAAAAAACCGCATGAAAATCTGAAGAATCAGTATTAGGATAAACGAAATTGAAAACTTTAAAACCAGTTTGATTTTATAACCGTCGTTAAAGAGTCAATCCAAAATTTTTTTTTTACGACTATTAATGTTCAACTCCATAGCCTTGTAATTTTGAATCCAATCCCGAAGACAAGGGAATTCCTGGATTAAGTATTGAGAGAAATTTGCCTTCGTGGAGGACTTTTTGATTAAAATAAACCACATTTGCATTACATGGCGAGGAAAAACTCCCACGGTTTTCCTGATGGCAAAGGGACTCTAACCCATGATCTGTCTACCACCGAGGATATTTTATGTTAACACTGTGGTCAGTACAAGCCGGATGCGGGATTCGTAGCGACCAACCATCACTGGGATTCGAACTAGGTTCACCTAATTGGGAGGCGAACGTTGTATCCCCTGAGCCATTACGGCAAACCAGTTTGATTTCATTTTATTTTATTTATAACCTTCGTTGAACATCCGACCCAATTTTTTGGGTTTACGACTACTAATGTTCAACTCCGTAGCCTGTAATTTTGTACCTAATCCAGAAGATAAGAGAATTCCTGGAGGAAAACCAGTTTGATTGCCGAAGTACGTTTGAAGTCTCTTTAAATTCCTCTAGGTTTCTTCGGCAACCACACATTC